TTCTTTCTTAACCTCAGCATTACATTAGTGTTTTTCATTATGATTTTTACAGAAAAATTGTTGTAAAAATCTATTAACTTGCACCTGTAGGATTTGCTCTTCAAAGTCTCCGGGCCAGTGACTGTCATCAAGGCCTTCCTGCATTAGCCAGAACTTTTTTTTATTATTATTTATTTTTATTTATTTTTTGCAGAAATATAATTCAATACAATTAAAAATAATGCAGGACAAAGAACATGCATATGAGGGGATTCAGAGGAGAAGTGTAATAACATTAAATCAAGTTATACTCTCAGAAATAAAGGTACAAAAGCTGTCACTGGGGCGGTATTTTAAAAAAGAAGTTTAATTTGTTTTTTCCTATTAGGGTCTAGTATTTACCTTTTTTTTTTTTTTCTTTTTTTTTTTTAAGGTACCAAAATGGACCCTTTAGGTACAACAAGGTACCGCCCCATTGATGGCTTTTGTACCTTTTATTTCTGAGTGTAGGAATCCAGAACCAAACAGAATTCCCTTTTTAAACTTTTTTTTATTTTTTATCCAATTTATTTTATAAATTTGGTTCAATGTAAAAAAAATAGATGTGTTAAAAATCTAAAATTTAAACTATTTCCTTCAGTAAATGCTTACTTGGTTTAATAACTATAGCTCTGACAGAATTAAATGTAAATTTTTTTTAAAAGGGTCCATGATCGGAGAAATCAAAATTCCCTTTATCTTTTGACAAGACGTCATTGTACTGTTAAAAACATCCTGTAAGTTTCAGAACTCAAAACTTCCTCATTAGTCTAAAAACGGCTTATATTTAAGCCAATCTGCCAAAACGGCATGTTGTGTAATGTGCCACTTTATGATGTAATAGTGTTGCTAAACCCCGCCTCCGCAGAAGATCAATTCCTGCTTCTACTGCACTGCCTGTTTAGCCCCGCCCACTGATTCACGCATGTAGGCTACTGTAAATAATGAGAGAAGCAAATGCAGGTCTAAGCAGAAACCAAACGATAAAGATGGCAATCTTTGCATTGCCTTCCTTCTGATCCTGAAATTAGGAAAGCGTGGATGAACTTTAATCTTATTGAAGAACTTGGTCCTAAGTTCACTTCATTTTAACATGGATGCGTTTACAAACCAGGCACAATTCTACGCAGGATTTTCAGAAAGATTGAAACTAAAAGACGATGCTGTGCGACTATATTGCATCAGACGGTAATGTAACTGATCGTTTGATATGTACTGGGTATTTATGTGTTTTTAACCTAAATCACAGCAGCGTCCATCTACGAAGGTTGTAGGCTGTCAAACATACCCCTTGTCCAAAAACCCACACTTGCAGTCTTGGCCACTTGAGAGCGTGTGAGCGCGACCGGAAGTGCGCAAGACTGTTCAGTGTGCCCTTAATGCACACTAAATCCACACTATCTCGAATACCACTCTGGAGCGTTATTTGAGGCTTAGTGTATCCCATCATGCATCATGTTGTGGAAAAACAATATTAATAATAGTTAGATATTACATATAATTTGGTAGTAAAACAAAGAGTTGCATGTTTTATAGGTGCAAATGAGTAGTGGTTTTTATTTTGTACAATTGCGACCTTTTTATCACTTGGATGCACCACAAAATTAAATTGTCATCTGTTATAGGGACTACTGAACAGACATTTAGAAGTTGATTTTTAAAATGCAAAGTATTGAAAATAAAAAAAAAAAACCTGTAAGTGTGATCAATCAAGTAATGAAAAGCTCTACACACACACACACACACTTATCCTTAATGCACACTAAATCCACACTATCTCGAATACCACTCTGGAGCGTTATTTGAGGCTTAGTGTATCCCATCATGCATCATGTTGTGGAAAAACAATATTAATAATAGTTAGATATTACATATAATTTGGTAGCAAAACAAAGAGTTGCATGTTTTATAGGTGCAAATGAGTAGTGGTGATTTTATTTTGTACAATTGCGACCTTTTTATCACTTAGATGCACCACAAAATTAAATTGTCATCTGTTATAGGGACTACTGAACAGACATTTAGAAGTTGATTTTTAAAATGCAAAGTATTGAAAATAAAAAAAAAAAACCTGTAAGTGTGTCCTATCAAGTAATGAAAAGCTCTACACACACACTTATGGTCTTCATGCTCACTTGAACCAAATACAGGAAATACGTCATAAGTAGTCAAGTGGTCAGATACTCAACTGTTAGCAGCCACTTTTACTTTAGTGTTGTTAGTGTTTTGTTTTATTTAGATTGCAATTTTCTTTCCCCTGGCTGTTATGTTATCTCTGTTTTTTTTTTTTGTTCTGTTATATTTTCTGAGATTCTGTTATAATGCATTTATATTTGTTTAGTTGCTTATTTTTTTTTTTTAAACTCAACTGTTAGCCAATCAAAGCAGTGGGCGTTTACTTCATTCATCTATTCAGACGGAGCGTTCTGATGATGAGGGGGTCAAAACAGGACAGAAAATAGCCATTACTTCTGAATTATTTTTATTTATTTTTTAAATGTAAAAATCTTTAACATTATAAGCAGACCTCAGAGAATAGCACAAAATAATAAAAAAGGCAGTTCATGGCCCCTTTAAGCTGTAAAGCTCTCAGGATTCCAAATATACCATTTTTATTATGGAAATTAATTTAAAAGTGTATAATTAGAGAGACTAGCTGACTCTCTCAGAGTTGATCTGATGCATTGTGATAGTTTTCACGTGACGTCACACTCTTACAGGAACGCCCACATGGAGGGCAAAACAAAGCTTTGCTCCACTGACCGCCAGTTATTTTTGCGAGGTTTGCATCAAGTAGTAATGTAGTAAGACCGTGATATTTAAAGGCCAAATTCAGTACACACCTTATTGATGATGCAAACTCTGCACAGGCAAGCAGATGAAACTAGAATATCCTGTAAGTGTGTCCTATCAAGTAATGAAAAGCTCTACACACACACACACACACTTATGGTCTTCATGCTCACTTGAACCAAATACAGGAAATACGTCATAAGTAGTCAAGTGGTCAGATACTCAACTGTTAGCAGCCACTTTTACTTTAGTGTTGTTAGTGTTTTGTTTTATTTAGATTGCTGTTATGTTATCTGTTTTTTTTTTGTTCTGTTATATTTTCTGAGATTCTGTTAATGCATTTATATTTGTTTAGTTGCTTAATTTTTATTTTTTTTTAACTCAACTGTTAGCCAATCAAAGCAGTGGGCGTTTACTTCATTCATCTATTCAGACGGAGCGTTCTGATGATGAGGGGGTCAAAACAGGACAGAAAATAGCCATTACTTCTGAATTATTTTTATTTATTTTTTAAATGTAAAAATCTTGATAACATTATAAGCAGACCTCAGAGAATAGCACAAAATAATAAAAAAGGCAGTTCATGGCCCCTTTAAGCTGTAAAGCTCTCAGGATTCCAAATATACCATTTTTATTATGGAAATTAATTTAAAAGTGTATAATTAGAGAGACTAGCTGACTCTCTCAGAGTTGATCTGATGCATTGTGATAGTTTTCACGTGACGTCACACTCTTACAGGAACGCCCACATGGAGGGCAAAACAAAGCTTTGCTCCACTGACCGCCAGTTATTTTTGCGAGGTTTGCATCAAGTAGTAATGTAGTAAGACCGTGATATTTAAAGGCCAAATTCAGTACACACCTTATTGATGATGCAAACTCTGCACAGGCAAGCAGATGAAACTAGAATATAAACGCAATGTGCAAAGTTTAATTAAATTTTTTCCCATAGAAAACCATTATAAAGAAGACGCTTAACCATTTGGCGCATTGCGTTCATATTCTGGGCTCATTTGCTTGCCTGCATAAAGCACGCATCATCAGTAAGGTGTGTACTGAATTTGATCTATTAATATCACTGTTTTAAAGGCACTTTAAGTAATTTCACATTTAAACGTTTTAGAATGTCCCGCTGTTTTTAATGATTGAAACAGTTCATTGAAGATTGTAAAAAGGGGCATAATATGTCTCCTTTAAGACCTTTTCCAGGAACTAAGTAAATGAGGCAGTTTTCACTTTGGAGTAACTTTTTCTTGCCAAAATACTGGTCCTGTTCTACTTGCTCTGTAATAAAATAGACCAGTTTGTTCCTCCACTCCATTTTCAGGTTATTTATTTAGCCGAGTCAAAAGTGTACTGAAATTTTTTCCAGTTAATAATGTCATGTGCTTCTCCACACAGGTGAGGAGCCTGAACAGCATGTTTTCGTACCTTCGGCGTATTGTGCCAGTGATGCCACGAGACCGAAAGCCTAGTAAAGTGGATATGCTGAAGGCTGCGACTGAGTACATCCGGCTCCTGTCAGCAGTGCTCAATCACACCTCTGCCACTGTGAGTTAAGGGCATAGCAGTGTCACTCATTCAGTCCTGAATTACATTTCATTCCCTTTTGAACTATTTGATATAACGGGAACATTCAAATAAACTGTACAACTTTTCTTTCTTTTTTTTTTTTCTTTTTTTTTTTTGCGCAGAGTAATGGGAATGCAGATGTTTTGCTGGAGACTGGAATCAACTACTCCAGCTTGGAGACTGACTGTTCTGATCTCTGGAACATGGAGGATGTGAGTTCTCTGTAATAGTTCCTTCCAATTCTAGAAGGCTGAAAAATGTGTTTTAAGATGGAGTATAAATGCATTCTGATGCCACAATATACAGTAGGAAGAACACTATTCTAAAGTTTGGTGCTGCTGAGAAATGTTTTTGAGAAAAGTTTCTAATACCTACCAAGGCTGCATTTATTTGATCAAAACGCACCGTAAAACGGTAATATTGTGAAATATTATACATTATTACAGTCTGATTTTTTTATTATTTTTTTTTAATATAAAGTGTGATTTGCAGAGGGGGAAAAACACTTAATTTCACTCAGAGGCCCAAACTGAGCACAAATATGCAGTTCGGTGTAGTTGCTGATTTTTATATTTATCAATAAGATTAAATTCTGGTAGCTTGTAATGTAAATCAGTAATCAATCTTTATAACGGTATAACATTGCTTATCATAATGCGTATACATGTAGACTAAGGATGGATCACCGTTATAGCAGAGGGACGTGATTAATTTGGATCCACTAGAGTAGAAAGCTGTGCTTGAAACTGATCCAGGGACAGCACAGGGCGGTGCCAGTTTGGTGTCTGGATCCAAAGGGGCCCCACTCATTATGGAGTCTCCCCAGAGAGAGGACCTCTTAGCGGGGGTCCCAGAGCACCTGAGCCCCTGTCAGACTACCAAACACAAAGATACTGTGACTGCAAGTGTGTTAACTCAGACACTTTGGATGTGTCAGTGCTGTATTTCACATGCTAATTAATCTCTTTCCAAAAAAAAAAAAAAACATGACATTTATAAGATGATTAAAACAGAAGTTTATCATATATGTTCATATGTACGTTAACTATATATTTCATCAATTTAATACAGTACATAGACAGTAAATACAGTGAGAGTATAATAAAGGTGTCAGGAATTATTTTAAGAAATTAATTTTTATTCAGCAAAGATGCATTGAACAAAAGTGACAGTAAATATGTTACGAAAGATTTCAGTTTCAAATAGATGCTGTTCTTTTGACCTTTCTATTCATAAAAGAGTCTATAAAAATGTAATGTTTCCACAAAATAGTTGTGGAAACATGACATTTCCACTATTGGTTTTTCACTATTGGTAATAAGAAATGTTTGTTGAGCAGCATATTAGAATCAGCATATTAGAATGATTTCTGAAGGCTGCTGAAAATAACTTTTTTTTTTAATTGTAACGATATTTCACAATATTTCTGTATTTTAAGTGTATTGGAGTGTTTTGAGTTATTTATTGCCAAGGGTTTTTATTACTCGAAAAAAGTCTTCTATCAAGTTTTTTATTTTATTTTTGCCTGCTTTATCATTCATCGGATGAAAATCTGAGGTGTAAGGCTGATTGTAATAGCCTCAACAACACTAATTATTTTCAATCTGCCACATACTGTATTCACATTCCAAATTCACACTACTGCTGAGTCAGTGAAGCCAAGCTGGGCTGTTCAAACAAACAGAGCCGTGTTTTGAAAGCACCACACAACTGAAGTCTACACTTTTGAGAATTTAACCCATATGAGTGGCTTACTTATAATTGCCTCACAGATAAAACCTGGATAAGAGAATTTGTTTAACACCAAAGAAAATTGCATCACCAAAATTTAGACGTAGTTGATTTTTCAGTTCAGGTGATATTTCTGCCCTCTTTTTTTCCATGCTGAAAGACCATTTATGTACTGTATGTGAAAATGAGTAGGACTTTAAGAAATTAAAGATATTCAGGCTTATGGTCTTAGATAATGTGCCATCAATCATCTGTTATCCATCCTGGAATAGTAATAGCATCACTCTAGTCAATTTTAGTCACGATCCAAAAGGCTTCTCTATATGTAATTTCTTAAATAGAGCTTCCTCAAGCAAACTAATCGATCATATTTACTAATGCACATAAAGAACTACTGTATGCGTATTGCTGTTTGGATGTATGACAGTTATTGCGGCCTCCACGTGACTTTGGGTGTGGTGTGAAGAAATACTTATCTAGTATTTGCAGGCCTGCCTGTGTGCATTTGCACGTGCGTCTATTATTAATATGCAAGCATGCCTATATGTCCTTCTCATGCACATATACAGTGGGGGAAAAAAGTATTTAGTCAGTCACCAATTGT